TTGTGTGGATGAGGAGAAGTCAGGAGAGAGGGGACAGCCACGCCAGGCAAACAGATCACCACATGTCAACGTGGCCGATGAAAGGACAGGGCCAGGCCCACGGGCACAGCCCAGCTCACTGAGAGCCCTAACCGCTTCAGTGAGGAGACAGAGATGTGCAAAAATGAGGCCAGGACATCAGCCAAGTTAGAGGAGCAGCTTGCAAGCAGGAGCAAGGAGACTCGGTCAGAGGGACACACAACCCAAGAACAGTAGCTTCGGGCTCATCCATGGAGTTGCTTCGTCAACTTTCTCGAATTCCCAGAAGAAGATGTAGAGGACAATGAAGCCAACGCCCGTGAAGACATCACTCAGGCCTCACATCCTTAACCTCCCACTCCTCTCCTCCAAGCTCTGTCCAGGCCCCTAAGTCTTCAACTCCAGATATGTGCCCTTTCCTACTGGAAGGTACTTTGCTATCTTCTAATTCATTCCAGTTTGTATTTCAATGCTCACTGTGACCCCACTTGTGATGGTTAATTTTATGCTTCGACTTAACGGATGCCCCAAGATGCCCAGAACATGTGGTTAAACGTTCTTATTCCTGTGTGTCTGCCACAGAGCTCCGCGAAGACATCAGCATTTGAATGGTGGAATGCGGAAGGCAGGTGGCCTTCCCAGCATGGGTGGGCTGCATCTAAGCCAAGAAAGCTGAACTTGCTCTCTGTCTTACTGTCTGAGCTGGGACTGTGGCCTTCAGCTGCTCCCAACAATCTTGGTTCTCAGAGCCTCCAGGCCTGGAATCTGTACCATCAGCTCGCTGGCTCTCAGGTGCTTGAACTGCGTGGTTGGCTTTCTGGGGTCTGCAGCTTCCAGATGGTCAATCATGGGTTTCTATGCCTCCACAATCACAAGAGCCAATACCTTGTGATCTAAGACATCTCTTGATACATCCTCTCTGCTCTCATTTGGTTTTGTTTGTGGTTTGTGTTTGTGTTTTGTTTTGTAGAACCCCGACTAATACACCATTTCACAGTCAACAAAGACATGTACTGCTGTTAGTACAATTCCTAGTTATGAGGAATCACATTTTCCCCACGTTACAGAGTATGCAGTTGTTCTCCAAGGGCTTTTTACCCCTTTGCCAGTGTAAGTAAGGCATGAAAGGGCCCTGGCTCTGCCTTATTGCCGATCTTGTTATCAGGCTTTCTAGTATCCAGTACATGGGTAGGAAATGGTATCTCACCATCTGCTTCCCTGATGAGGAGTGAGGCAGAATTCATTTGTCAACTAGTCATTTTCGTTTCTTCTTCTTTAAACTATTTGCCAATTTTGCAACTTTGTTGTTTTTATCTTACTGATTTGAAAGAGTTCTTTATGCAAAGAGAATACTAACTGCGTATAGCAAACCCATTGCAAGTATTTATTCCCAACCCTAATTCTTTTCAAGACATTGTTAATATTGATGTTTAACTCATTAGTCTTTCATGGTGTATGTGTGCGTGACCTTTTTGCACCTTGATACCATAAATCATTTAGAAAATATCTTCTGTGGGGCAGGGGTATAAGGAAAAAATGAGAACCAAGACCTGTCAAAGATCCCAGTGATGAATGTAACTGTACTGTGTACCTAAATTGTACCAATCAACTCAATGAGGAAAAAAAAAAAGAAAATATCTTCTGTGTATTTTAATGTTTTTCTCTTTGCATTCAGATTTTGTTTTGTTTTTTGAGACAGAGCCTCACTATGTAGCTCAGGCTGGCCTGGAACTTGTGTGATGAGGCTCCGGCCTCAGCCCCCCGAGTGCTGGGATCACAGGTGTACACCAGTGCGCCCGGCTGCATTTAGATCTTTAACTATGGGCATTTGCTTGTGTGTGCGATGTGAGATGAGGACCTCATTTTATTATTTCCTGTATGACCAGTCAGGTATCCTGTATCATTTCCCAGCAGCTCAGCAGCCCCTCTCCTCCCTCTCCTGGGTTCCCATACATGTGAGATCTTGGTCTTAGGCTTGCTACTATGTTCCACCTGCCCCTCTCTCTCCTCCCAAATATCATACACTCTAGTTCATCAGAGATCACCATCCAGAGCCTCACTGGCTGGTCTTATGTCATTGGTTCTTAATGTTCTGGCTTTGTGCTTCTCCTTTGGCTGGCAGGTGAGAACTTCCTTGTCTTTCCCTGAACCTGACATGTTTGGCTGGCATCTGCACAGCATTTGTATGTGTCTAGGGCAAGGAGCCTACTGACACGACATCAGCCAGCCGTTCTCATAAATGTTACAACAGCTCACTTCATATACTTTCTGCATTTGCCATGCTTTAAATACAATTTATTGATCTTTTCAACATTCCTTCAGGAAAATCATTAAATGTATATATTTTCACTATTCACAGATTCTACCGAACAAGGACCAATAGGGCTGATAAAATAATGAGGCCTAATATGTAAATATTCAAGAAAAAATTAGAAAAGAACCCCCACAGTTTTCCTGTAAGCAGACACAGGCCCATCAAGTTGTTCTATAAGGAGACAGCTGGCTCACCATGGGCATTAGTATTCTGAAGGTACAGAATGGTTCCATTTGCGGTAGAAAAATAAATAAACCCAGGCCTTTTCTTCTCTTTGCAGATCTGCTCATAGAGATTCATTCTGGCATAATTGACATTTAAAAAGATCCATTTTGCTACCACTTTTCTTTCCAAGAAGGAATATGCTTTTCTGCTGGGAGGCTGCAGAGAATCGTGATGCGCACATTCACTGGGATGACGGCCCTATCGCACAGCAGATGGGAGACAGCGAACAAGGAGAGAGTGCCCGGACTCCTGCAACAGATTTTGATCTACTCTTAGTATTTCAGGATACATAAAAACTCCAGCAGGTCTCTTCTGAGCTTATACCTTATAATTTGAACCTTAGGGCTGTGAACTGAATCGCTCCATGGCTCCATCAGAACGCAGTGACACCCCATGTTCATCAAGGAAAACTTCGAGAAGCCAATTCCTCAGTGGACAGTTGCTAGTGGGTAGTTGGGTGGGGGTGGCTGTTCGACCCCAGGCTCCCAGAAGAATGGCGTTTCATGGTCATTTGGGCAATTGCCTGTTTCCCTGTGCATAACATCCACCTTCACAGACTGTCCTGACTCCCAATTATAAACAAAATCTTGTCCCTTTGCAAAATCCCCCCAAAATCCTTTAACATTTTCAGCGCTGGGAGTGGCTGATATATCTGATGAAGTGAAGAACAAAGTATGTTCACAACTTAAAAAAATCAAACGGAGTAGAAAGGGCCATGTTGCGAGGACAAAAGTAAATCCACAAACTTTAAAAACTGAAAACTGGGAAAATATCCAGGAAACTCTCAGCCAGCCCCTTAGAAATCATGCAACTCTCTGAAGTTTCACTCTGTTCCCTTGGGAAGGAGCTGCTTGCTCTGCCTCTCTCAAAAGCCTTAGGAATGTGCCCTGTCCAAAAGCCACCACAGAACCCATCCAGGACTTCTGAGACAGGAATATTCCCCAATTCAGCACCAGGGCATTCCTACTCAGACACAGCACAGGGATTAGGAGAGTCCACCCAGACATAAGTAGATCTAGACTGTAGATTAGGAAGTAAAATAAATGAAGCTGCTATGCTTTACAAAAAAAACAACATTTAAATTGTTTCAAATAACAGGACCTATAGCCTTCTACTACCTTGGATGCAATGTGGTAGTTCTGGACCAGGTTCGATGCTCCAGAATCCCTTCCTTTGCCCCTGTCCATCTTCATTTGTAGCCTCAAAACTGGCACAGAGCTTTCTCACTGGGACAACCAAAGTTCTCCCCTCCTTTGGGAGCCCCAAAGCTACCACTTCCCTGTGTAGGACACTCTAAAGCAGGAAGACCCATCCAAGCCTACCAGATGTTCCTTCTCCTGAGATCCACAAGAACACATGAAATCTATTAGCAGCTCAGACCAGCTCTGGGCAATAGGATACAGAGACCATGCCTGGCTCAGCCTCCTGACCTCTAACAACTTTCCCCGCTGCTACCCACTCCCCAGATACATCCAAACCCACCCTTAACAGCAGCTTCCTCCTCCAGCCTGCCTGGTAAGTCTCTGGCCATTGAAGAACTGATTCGCCTTCAATCCAGAATGCTTTCCCTCCAAGACTCCCCTCGTTAAACACCTTGCTGACAGTTGAGCTCAGCTCCTACAGGTCCTACAGGGCAAGAACACACCAGGCGCCATGGGTGTGGCCAGGACCATAATACGGCTTTGCAAAGGAAACCTGGAACTGCCCTTCACCACTGGCAAGCTGAGGAGGCCTCTTTGGGGTCCGAGAAAGAGTTTTTCTGCTCGGCTTCTGAGTATCTCACAGTGGTTGACTTCTAGAAGTAGTCTATGAGTTGACTATCCCTTATTAAAATGCCTGGGACCACAAATGTTTCAGACTTCAGAGGTTTTAAGATTTGGAAATATTTGCATAATACTTTTCAAGTTGATGTTCAAAAATCTTCAGATTTTGAGCACTTTGGCTTTCAGATTTTCAGATTAGGGATGCTCCATATGTACTGACTGCCTGTGTTGAACAGTGAAAGGTTTTCGATGATAACTGTAGTTGGTATCTACTTCCAAAGTAAATGGAAATCTAGGTTGCGGACCACACAAATAAATAACAGAGCGAGGTGAGGACTGTGGTTTACAGGAACGCTAGCCTGAGGCGAGGGAACAGATGGGGCAAGCACACCATTATTATGTCATGGGCAGAAAGACACCAGCCCCAGGCGAAGTGGGTGCCCAGCAATGATCCCATGTTCATTCGCTCCTTGGCTGTGACTCAACCCCAGCTCCATTCACTGTGCTTAGGTGAACAAACCCTGACTTCACTGACTTAGACACACAAGGTTTCCAGGAAACAAAAAGCCATAGCCATTGCCCGTTCCACCTACAGAGCAGCTTCCCTTTAGTAAAGAAACCCCAGCCCCTACATATCAGAGGCAAATGCTCACTCTGCGCAAGGATCTTGTATTTCTTACCAAAAATGAGTGGTTTGGTAATGTCCCGAAAAGGATCCTGGTGATCAAGTCTTCCTGGAATAAAGCAGATGAAAACAGAGAAAATCACTCGGGTTTCAAAAATGATACAGGTGCTTACACAGGGCTCCTTTGAGTATAAAAATCTAAATGAGTGAGAGGCTCTGAATCACCTATAAAAGTGAAGAAATTATAACTCTAATGAGATGATCAGAAATTACCTTAAACAAATAATTAAAGTGTTTCTTTAGTCATTTCATCATGTAATTATTGCCTTTAAAACAACATGTTGGGCAAATAAAGCACTAGCTTGTATACCATTCTGGAAGGAGAGATTTCCTGCATATTAATGAAATTCCTCAAAGCCCTCATGAATATGTATTTTCCCACAACAAAGCTTGACCCCAGTGGTTTGCAGAACCAGCCTTTTGTGACACTTTCAGATGGAAGCTGGTGTGTAAGTGGGGGTTGGAGGGGAGTGAAGATCGATGAAAGGAAGTTCTCTCACTTCCTCTATCCAGGGTCTCAGCTCAGCTTTCCTCCTGGATAAGACAGTTTCACAGAGAGCTGGAAAGAGGCCAATAGGTCTCACACTTCCCTTAAAGAGAGAAAGCTTCATCAGTGAAAGCTAAGAGGACAGCCAACAGACTCAAGGGATCCAAGGCCAGAGCCGTGGGTTGGATCAAGAATTTAGATAGAGGCAACATAATATAAGACAAAGGGGCAGGAAGCTTGTGGTGGAACAAAGGGCAAGGGATTCATTTGTCCTAGACATTGCATCTGAATTCTTCTCCATCCAATTTGGCTGAAGACACAAAGTTATAAAAGCTTTTGGATTTTCTTTGGTCCTTTCAAAACTATAGCAATGGCAGCCACCTCCAAGAGGCGCTCTTGGTGAGCAAGCATAGGGCTGAGATCTCCATGGGTAGCTGTGCAGTGGGACAGTTCACCTTCAGTCTGATCTTGGGGTCTAACAACACGGGAGACAGCACCATGCACTGTGGGAGAGAAACAGGGTCTTGCTATTGTCCCCACAGACAATGGCTTGGACTTCATCACAAAGGTCTGATCTGGACTTGGCATGACTGCTTTTCTGACAGTGCCAGATGGTGGCTCTCAGTTCCCCAGGCAGACATTCTTAGCAGTGGGTTTTAATTAGGGAACTTCCTCCACCCCAACTGGCCTAGTGCAGAGGCCCCTGATCCAGACAAAAAGGAAAGTGACGATACCCCTTTGGAGGCTAAGGATACTGCCATTTTGACCAAGGCGCCTTTTAAGAGAACCACAGAACTGTGAGTCTGCTTGCCCTACACAGCAGTAACTGGACGTTTGCATGGCTGTTCACTTTCTTTCCAAAGGGCCTAGTGAGCAAATTTCCTTTCAGTGCTTATTTCTTCGAGCATCACTGATTCTGGCCCTTTGAAGGGAGGCCTCTTACCACACCCAAGTGAACACCACACATAAGACCTCCCAACCACTCACATGCTTCCCCAAGGGCAGTCACTGTGCACCTCTTACTTCCAAAGTGAGCATCAACAAAGCCCTTTACAGCGCTGGCCCCAGGTTCAGCGTGTGCAAAATGTGGAAAACAAGAGCTGCTTCAAAGGCTGTTGGGAGGCTGAAAGGCAACAAAACTCCCAGAGTCCACCTACCACATTCTCATCAAACAGAAATCTCTTCCTCTCTCCCAAAGCTCACCATCTGGGGACCTCCAAAGCGAAGTTATTTCTGGGTTAGTGCAAGAACTAAGTGTTGTCCCTGGTGGCAAGACTCCCCACTGGAAGTCAGAAGGTGGGGCCCCAGCTCTGCACTCCCTCACAAGCGCCTGAACAGGGCTGTCCCTCCAAAACATGCATCAGAGTTCACTCCCCACAGCAAGGTACCACAGGCAGAAACAATCTGAAGTGGGGCCTGTGGGGGGTGATCTGTTAGACAAGGCCATCAGGGTGGTGCCCTCAAAACTGGTGGCTCTGTACTGGTGGTTCCATAAGAAGAGGGAGAGAAACACAAGTGCTCTCCTTGTCTTGCCACATAATGCCCTGCACCATACAGCACTCTGCCAACAAGAAAGCCACCACCAGATGCAAGCCCTTGACCCTGGGCCTCCAGAACCATAAGCTGAAATAAATTTCTTTCTTTGTGAGTATCCAGCTTTGGATATTTCATTATAACAAGAAAATGGACTCACGGTGAGAAAGACAGGCCCGATGCTCCCTGCCCTCTGCAGGAATTGCCCATGCCAGCTTGGACGGCTGTGACCAAGAAGGGGCTGGAGGACACCAGAAGCCTCAGTCCACCATCACAGGCTGGAATTCTCCCAAGCCCACGGGGCCCCCAGCATGGCTTGATCCAATGTGGGCCTCTAAAGATTCCTACCTCCACCTGGATCCAGGTTCTCCCACTTGCATCTGGCCCAGAGGCACTTTGGGGAAACCCAGAACCCATCTGAGGATGCACTTCACTGTCCTGGGATGCCTACTCCCGGGGCTGCCACAGCCCTCCCTCTGCCTCCTTGGAGTCTGAGTCCCTGCAAAGGACAGAGTCTCATTCATCTGTATCAGAGCCTCCCCTGAAGGTTCCACCTGGATCCCAACAAAGGCACAGAATCATAAGAACCACCTGGGAACAATGGCAGCGCACTGCACTTTACATAAACACTTCCATAGGAGGAACAGGCCCACATCTGCACTCAATTTAGAATGGGTTTTTAAGTGTCTATTTATAGGCATCACACAGCCATCCCTGGTGGATGGTGGAGAAATCAGGGCTTTGGGCTCCTGTCCATTGCAATTCATTTGCATTCTTTTCATGTTCATCTTCTCTAATTTCCCAGCAGCATTTTAACTCAAACGCAAGGTCACCCACCACTTGGACCCAGCACCACTTAGCAGTTTCTCCAGAGAAAAATACTAATTTTCTTCCCCACGCAGCAGTGCCCTATGCCCACTCTCTCCGGGACCTTGCCCTGTGCTGGCTAAAGTGGAGCTGTGTTATTTGGATGGCCTGTGTCTCTGGACACAAGGTCACTTTAAAGATGTGCTCCGCAAGGTCGTGAGACCAGGGAGGTCTTTCAGGGGTCAGCCGTCATCTCTCCATCCGGCTCTGAGTCGCCACCCCAGCCAGGCACCTTTCGGCTCCACCCCAGTGGCCGGAAAGAACACAAAGAAAGCATGATGGCTCTCTTAGATTGCATGAGCTTGTCCTCATAGCTGTGGGTGGTCCAGCGTTCCTACAAGTTCCAAACATGTTTTTCCATTCCCTTTCTCCCGCTAGCCTTCTCCCAGAGAGGTAGAGAGGGCCAGGCCAATCCCCAGTATCTCTTGGCTCTTGTGATTCAACAGAATTGCCAGAGCCTGCTCTTTTTCCTGCAATTCACAATTATTTTTGGAATAATCTCCTAATCTTTTGCAATCTTCAGGCTGGAAATTGAGTCCCTCGGATCTCCATGAGATTAAAGCCTCTCTGCTCTGAGCCATTTGTTCATTCCTAAGTCTTAGCTGGGGGTTGGGAGGAAGTTGAGCCTGGAGCCCTGTTTTCCAGAAGGACGTGCACATACCAGCCATGGGCCTCCTATTGATAGGAGGATCCAGGACTGGATCCACCAGAGCGCAGGGGCTCTGTCTCCATCTCTGAGTCCACAGCAGAGTGCAGACTCAGGGAGCACCTGCCATCAACATCTGCAGCCGCCTAACTTCAAATACTGCGCAAGGTCTGGTTTTGGAAGGGAGGTTGTCACCGAGGCTCTTGGCTTTCAATTTCAAGACTGATTAATTTTCTCACAAGACACCACTTCAACTGCCATCATTGGCTCTGTATTATTTGACATGCAAATTTCTGGCAATAAATTGGATCCCTGATCAAACCCAGCCTTTTAAATGCCATCCTTCTGGGCACACTGGAGGTAAACAGAAATGATAAATACTCTTCAGAGTAGATGGCTACAGACTGGCTGTTTACCTTCAATTCCTATGTCGGATCCAGAAACTATCTTTAGGGCCCACAGTGGCCCAAGTAGCTGGGGAGAGGGCTGGAGCAAGGAAGCTGCTTAGGCTGAAAGAGCCCTGATGGACCAACGCCCCAGGCAGGTCAGCTCCTTCAAATGCCCAGCAAGGTCACTGGCCCAGGAGCACAAGCAGGTGCAGGGGCAGAGGGGCAGGGGGGACCCAGAGGCACTGTCACTACACTGAGGCAGGAAGTCTGGGTGGAGTGGAGCAGTCTGATCTTATGCAGGAACAGTGGAATCACCCTCAGCGTGCCGGGGGGTCAGCGGGGCTGCCTCTAATCTCATTTCTTCTTCCCACTCACCCACAGCTATGGCTTAAGTCCTTTGGGTTTAATAGGCAACCCTGTCCTTGTTAGGGGCTGGTCCCTGGGCACACTGTGACTGGGCTGCAGGACAAGTGGAGTTCAGTGCACTTGCGTGCCATCAGGACATTCTGGCCGCACTGAGTAGAGGCCCTGGGATGGGAATGGAAGGGGTGTGCAGAGAGCAGCTCAGCTCAAACAATGCATGAGAAGCACCCACCGGACACTGCAGCCAGCTCAGCCATCACTCTTCCCGGGGCCAGCCCTGTGACTGCAGCCAGTGCCACAATCCAGAGCTCATGCTACTGTTAGCATCGAGGCATGGATGGTGCAGTCTGCTCTGGGCTACCCCCGGGAGGGAAGTGGGCAGCTGGCAGAGGTCAGCATGGAGCAGGGTAGCTTTGGCACAGGAGATCTCCTTGGACCCAGTATTGCAGCTCAGCCAAGCTGCCCCTTGAGAGATGCAGAGAGAGGGAGGCGTCCCCACAGGGGCACTGGAACCACAGTTCAACCACAATAGGATTTTGGGGCGGGAAGATGGGTGTTCCCCCAGGCCAGAATATATAGTTTACTGAAGGGGGGACTGCCACTTTCTGGTGGAACCTACAGGGACAGTATTTAGGTGGCCAGAACAGGGTCCTTTCTGGGCAGAGAAAGACAAAGGGCCCCAAGGAACCACTGCAAGAGCAGGCCACAGTCCAGTATCTAAGGGAAAGAGCATCTGGGTGCAGGGCACTCAGGGTCGGGGTAAC